TAAACAATAATTATAATTTTAAATCAAAAATTATAAAAAATATGTGAAAAGTGTGGAATAAAAAAAATGTTCACTATAAATATAGTTATTATATTAAAATTATAAAAATATTTTACATTTATACAATATGTAATTCTTTTTAAATAAGTATAATATAAGTATAATATAATATAATATTATATAAGTATAATAAATTCTTTTTAAATCTATGAGTATAATAGCATGTATAAAAAAAGCATTTAGTCCGATACAAACAATATTAAATTGAAGAAAAAATTATGAGATGTTTGATAAAATTGTTGGCAAATTATATACCTTTTAAGCAAAGATATTTAGTCAACTACCAACTAACGGAGTCATTATGCGATTATCTACATCTTACAAAATTTCATTTGAAACTAGCTGTTAAAAAAAACAAATGTTTTTTTGAAAATGGGAGAAACTCAAACAAAATAGAAAAAAAGTGCTGTTAGAAAGATACTACATCTGATCTACATCTTAAAGGTATCTTAAAGATCATTGACATAATCTACATCTTAAAGGTATACTCTCAACTTCTGAATTTTATGAATTGTCATCTTTGTTTTATATTGCACCATCAAATGAAAAAGATTTGATCAGAAAAGAATCTCTTGTGACATCAACAGTCAAATATCAAATTTAGATTTTTTCTCAGATCATTTCAATTAAAAAATCAATTTTTGGACGGAGATCCGCCCTGGCAACAGTACTCCGTACAAGGATAGATTTGAGATTTATAAAGATAAAGAATAGAATCAAGAGTAAAAATAAACGAGTAAGATAAAGAGAAACAGATGCTAATTTTGCAATCAATTTAATATACGGTTTCCAAGAAAGATCGGAAGAGTTAATCTAGAAAATGAAGGGTAGATGACTCATTAAATACATTACCGCTCAGAGCTAGAGTAATCATAGTAAACATCTAGTAGCAATAACGATTAGGTGAAAAAGATTGAGTTTCATCAGAGTTAAATTTCATCAGCCACTGAGAGCCCCATGCTGTAGCAGAAGTGAGATCCTTTTCAAGCTCAAATGCCCCCTCCAAGCAATCACAGAGTGTTGGCTTCTTATCAAGACAAGAATAAATGGTAGTATCATCAGCGAACAATGCCTCCTTAGATGTAAGAATTTCTGGAAGATTGTTAATGTAAATTCAAAAGAGTATAGGGCCAAGGATAAAACCTTGAGGAACCCCTGAAGTTAAAGGGTATGAAGAAGAGTGCTGTCCATTGAGGACAACTTTTATACTACGATTGGCATGGAAGGATTCAATAATCTTAAAGATGTTATCTGGTATCTGAGGTAGATGAGGCATCTAAGGTAGATGGTAAAATAGAACGCTTGCCTATTGTAGTAACAGAAAATCCAGTGTACCTGAAGAAAAAAACTAAATGCACCTGTATTGCTTGTTTTTATATTTTTAAATATCTAGTTTTTTTGCATTTAAAGAAAAAACATAGGTGATACAGGTAATATCAAAATTGCTTTTATGTAACACTGAAAAAACAAATTAATGTAGTACGCATTGGTGATGAATATTGTACATTTTTAAATTTGATTTGAACAAAGACAAAGACTAAGTGGCTAAAGTAAACAATATAGCTAGGAAGCATTTGTCGTCGCACCAATATAAAACCAACATAAAAGTATTTTTCTTGTATGTTTAGAAAAATAATTTTTAAAAATCTTGCTTAAGTCTGATTATAATGCATATCAATACATATGATTACACATGTATTAACACATGAATTTATACATGTTTATATATATATATATATATATATATATATATATATATATATATATATATATATTATATATATATATATATATATATATATATATATATATATATATATATATATATATATATATATATATATATATATATAGGCATCAGATATGTTTCTACAACATTTAGTAAACTTTTTTAACAACAGCAACAACGTATTTTTGATTAAAAATAGTTTAATTTATATTATTATTGAAAACTTTTTTTTTTAAAAGTTTTTATAGTTCAAATCATTTTTTTGTTAAAAAGGTAAGAGGTCATCCATAAATTACGCCACGATTAGGGGAGGGGGGAGGAGGAGGGGTAGGCAATCTTGTGACAATTTGTTATGAGCGGGAGGGGGGTCTCAATTTTGTGACACAACATTTTTTTTTTAGAGAAGACTTTTTTAGTTAGAAGAGTATCTGACCAAACCAAAAGCCTCAGTTGATGTAATTTGTGCATAACCTCCTCTAAAAAACAAAAAAAAATTTCAGGGGGGAGGGGGGAGCGGGAGAGGATGAACAAAATTGTTGCATAATATTGGGGGAGGGGAGGGTGTCAATAAAGTATTATGGTTGTGTTACGAGGAAGGGTGTGTGGGGGGTGGGGGTGTTGGTGGAAAGAGGGGTCAAAAAATGTCAAAAACTGCGTGATGTAATTTATGGACAACCCCTAAGATGATTTTTTTTTAATTCTCTGACATCATTTTAATGTTAAAAAAAAATGTAAGTCATGCCCATACAAAAACTTGATAATCAGCACAATAAGCCAATGTAATGTTTCTCTTTTGAGAAACATTATATTGACTTTATTAGCTATCAAAAAAGGGCGTCACTACCAAATTTTTGAAACTTGCACTACTAGCTAACGCTTTAGCTACCAAACCCATCTTTTTAACTTATTTAATATCATTTGCACCTTTTGCTGCATATTTTATTTTAAAATCGCTAGTAAGTGCATTATTATAAAGTTATAAAATTGTTTATTTGTTGCCCCCCTTCCTCTCTCTCTCTCTCTCTCTCTCTCTCTCTCTCTCTCTCTCTCTCTCTCTCTCTCTTTCTCTAAGTTGAGTTATTGATACTAATCCTGATAAGGAAATGAAGGTTTTTTTTAATGTTTTATCTTCACTGACTCTTCCAACAAATAAATAACTAAAAACTGCCCTATTGTCTCTTTCTTTATCTTTAGTTTAAAGTTGGTGTAAGTTAAAAACTGAATTATTTGAGAATTTATTTAAATTTTATGATTTAAATATTCTATTCAATTCTGTTCAAAATATTATTAATCTAATACTTTGAACATAGTAATAATTTAAAAGGTCTTTCTTTCAAAATCATCTTATCAATTTGCACAACAATCTTTGCATTTTAATTTTCACTGACTAAATTGAGAAATAAATGAATAGAGCAATTATTTAAACTTTTTTTTTTTAATTAATGGCAGTGCTGTAGGACTTGGTTTTTTTTTGATTGCAACTTCACTCCACTACCAATTTTTGATAATAGAAAGCAAAACCAAGACACACAACTGCCCAGTAGGGTGTTCCTAAAAAGTGTCTGCTAAGTAGGGTGTCCTCCCAATAAAAACTTTCAAGCTTTTTCTAATTCTTTAATGATTTTTGTATTTTTAGCCAAAAAAACTAAGAATATATATATATATTTATTTTGCTTCTTTAAATGTGATGGCTGTAAAACTTCAAATTTCAAATTGAAAGTAATAAAAAAATATTAAATTTTTCATATTTCAATTTAAAAGTAAGAAAAAATCATATATTTTAAGAACTGTATCAAAAATAAGCATTTTCAGTTTAATGAAGAAATTTTGAGTTGGATCTTTAATTTTTTTTGTTGTTGTCTCTGTCTCTGTTGTCTCTGGCAGGAGGTTCTGTTTTATGTCACCTGACCTGTAAACACCAACAAAATCTTAGATCAGACTCTTTTCAGAGCAGCCATTGATATATTCAATTAACACCAAAAGTTTTTCTGATCAAATGCTCAACTGGTGTCTCCCTTGATCAACTTCTCTAACAAGAATAGCTAGCTTGTACAAGAACCAACTCTGAAAACCTACCAGCTCAGTAAGCTTTGTTGGCTAAAAAATAACCTGTAGCTTTGGTTTCCTTGTATGAAACTGTTTATTGACACTTAATCAGTTTCTTCAAAATCTTCTTCCTTATCTCTTTATCAACATTGTAAGCTAGGGTCAACATAACTAAACGATCCATTAATTACCAAATATGTAACTGCATGCTGACAAGAAGAGCTTGTCCTGGTACTTCTCTTCTTAAAGAGAACGCAACTAGTTCATAGAGTTTCTTGTAGTCCCCTCTTTTAAATGTCTCTTTAGTCGATGTCCTCTTGCTGAACACCAGGTCTTCTCTTTCATGTATAAAGATGACACAATTTGTAGCTTATTCCAATCAAACAATTACTTTGTCCGCCACCTTCATGAAACTTAGCCCTGCTTTCTGCACTCTTATGTTGAGTATAATTCTAAGCCTCTTTGTTGATTTGAAAAAATTAATAAATCTGACCAAATTTAACCAATTTATAGAACTTGTTCACAGGCAGCTGGTTGATAGGATACTTAGGTAGATTAAGTAGTTTTCTGGGATTAAACTAATCCCAGAAAACTGGGATTAGTTTAATTATATAATAAAATAAGCTGGGATTAGTTTGGAAAGCTGTATCTTCCTATTTGGAATATTAACACATTTTAAATAATGAAATCATTCATTAAATCTTATTTTAAATTTTAGCAATGTATAAAATGTTTTATGACAGTTAAATAATAAATATGTATGAAGTGCACCTCTTAAAAATGTGTAAAATGGCAGAAAAACAGGTTAATTAAATTTTAATTAAAAATTTAATTAAAAAACAACTTAAATTGGCATGTAACGTGTTTTTTTTAATATACAAGCCTAACAACTATAAACAAATCTAAAAGAGTCTATCTATTTTTTGATTTTGTTAAAAACTAAGCATACAATAAGCATATTGTGGCGGTACTCTAAACTAGGTATTTTCTTGAGCACAACTCTATTAATACAATTTTTTCCTTTACTTTTAGACTCAAATAACTTTCTGAGAATGGAAAAAACTTGAGATATCCTTAAAAAAAAAGTATATTTTTGGGACACCATACTGCCGTGCTGTTTAAAATATAATAGCTATGTGTGTTGTACTATTATAAGAGTGCTTACCTTGGTTAGTTCTTGGGTAAAATGCATGTGCATATACCTCTTTACTAAAATCCTGATCAGTTTGACCAACATTATGTGATGATTTTTGAAAAGATATACGAATATCAGCAGAATCTGAATTAGATACTTCTATAAAGTTTAGATTAGTAACATCAGCCCATTTTTGAAAAGATTTCTGCATAATTTCTCGAACCTCACTTGGTAAAATACCATTATTATTTCTGCCGTCCACAAACCATGTTACTGTCTAAATCAATGACAAATGCTTTTATTAAAAGTATAAATACATATTAACCATAATTCTCAAAATCAAAGGTTTGAGAATTATGGTTATGATTTATTTATACTTTTAATAAATCACTCTTAATATTTAATATATCTACTAAATATATTAATCTATGTAATATATCAATCTATTTATTATACCAATATAAATATTAATACTCCAATTTAATGTATAACATTTAATGCACTAAGTTACTGTTTAATGTGCTCAGTTACAATCGTTATAACGAATGTTATTGGCTAAAATAGAACCTCCTAATGTGTAATTCGCTATTTATAAAGTCTAATTTAATGCACTTAGTTATAATGATTAGGATTTGTTTTCTTAAGCAGTTTAATGACATCAAATTTGACTGCTTTAACATAAACAAATTAAGGTAACAGGTGTATATAACTTAAATAATAATTTACTTTATTATTTATTTTTTAATTTTATTGTATTTTTTGCATCTAAATCATAATTCTATTTTTAAATTTAATTTTAAGTTAAAACTATTTTTTTAGATAAATTGTTTGTAAGTTATCAATTTAATGCGCTTAGTTACAATTGTTAGTTATTATCCCCCGTAGCTTCTTTAACTAAACCGTGTTCTTAAACACTGTTTTAAATTTAACACATTTTGATTAGGATTTTGTTCATATTTGACTATGTTTATAGTTGAATATATATACATATATTTTATTTTTTTAGTTTATCAGGTTTATAGATTTTTCAGTTTTTTGTTATTATTTTGGCATGAAAAAATAAATAAAATTGTTACTTGTTAACCTGTAAGTTTATATACATAAATGTGTGTATATTTAAGTAATTTTATACTTCTCTGTATTTATATGCATATTTTCTCTTAGACAAAATAATCAGGAAAAAATAAAAATATTGAACTGTGAGCAGAAGAAAAATAAAAAGATTATTCCTATGCATGTGCCTTTGTTTAAATTGTTATGGTTCTATTTAAAGGTATTTGAATATATATATATATATATATATATATATATATATATATATATATATATATATATATATATATATATATATATATATATACATATACATATATATATATATATATATATAAATATATATATATATATATATGTATATAATTTTAATGCAAGACCGGAATTTTTTTTATTTTTTTTTATTTTATTATTTGATAGACTGCCTGCCCAAACCAAACCCTCAGTTGATGTAGCAGCACTCCTTTGCAAGTCAGGCTATTTGTCAGTCAGGCTATAAGGTAGTCAGTCAATGTAGCAACACTCGCGCATGATTTACAGTAAAAAAATAAAAATAAAAATATTTTATTTAAAAAATTAAAATAAAAACATTGTTTATATTTTTATAAACATTCTAAAATGTTTTTATAAACATTTTGGTCAATTAAATTTGCGTTTTTGCGGTTTTTTATGGTTCTATTTAAAGGTATTTGAATATATATATATATATATATATATATATATATATATATATATATATATATATATATATATATATATATATATATATATATATATACATAAAATAAGTTGTTAAATTTGTTCTAAATTATTTCATCTTTTTTATCGCTTTAGATTAAAATATACTGGTTGTTACATCAATATACTAGTTGTTTAAAATATATTGGTTGACCTTTCATCAATTACTTTTTTTTTATAATATTGTGCATTGTTGTCTGCATTCTTTTTTAAATTAAAAATAATTAATGCTATTAAATATTGTTTTGTATTTGTGATTAAAATCTAAGTTTATTTCATAATCAGTTTATATTTATCTTTTAAGTCATACTAATTTGTAATTAAACTTATAAAAAGATATGGTTTCAATAAACCTTAAATTAAAGTATAATAATTTTTAAAATTTTAATCTTGAAAACTTTCATAAAATTATTTATTAGTTTAATGTTAAACTAATGAATTGTAAAGGTAAGCAAAAAAAAATTCAAAAAATAAAAAAATTAATAAACATCCCCTCCTGTTTATTAAGCACCTAAGAGTATGTCAAAAATATGTCGTTTTTTCAACTTAAGAATAGTATATATTTAATTTTATTTAGTATCTCATGATTGAATTTAGTTTTACCTTTTTCATTTTTTTTAAATAACAGTTGTTTATAAAAGTTACTTATTTTTGTCTTTTCTTAACTTTAGAGTAGTAGTGAAAGATTAAAAAAAAGATCACAAGATTTTTTTTTGTTTATTTGTTATAAACATTAATACAACTGGTAATATGCTTGATGATAATAGTGAAATTAAAATGAATGATATTTGGCTTGAAGATGTTATTAGTGTAAATGCTAATAGACAACTTGAAAATAGTTGTCAAAATTAAAGAGATAGAGCAAGGCAAAATCAAATTAATCGTTATCAAAATGTACAAAATGCTGCTTGGCTAGCAGAAATTAATTTGAACCCTAATGAGGGTAATGTGGTTAGGCAAGTTAATAATAACTGTCTTTGAATCAAAAGAAATAGGGCTAGGTGAGATAAAATATTCATAAAATTAGTCTACAAAGTGTATGAAATGCAGTTAGACAAGGAAGAATGCATTCTATAGCAAAAAGTAACAATATTTCAGATTATAATTTTTAAGGAGAATTAAACTAGATCTGTCAGCATTGTGTGTGAACTGATTTGCTCTTGCATTTAAAAACATGATTGAAGTAGAAGATGAAGAAATTTATCTAGCAGCTATAGAAAGTTTCTCAGTCTCAGTTGTAAAAATGTTTTTATTTGAAGGGCAGAATAGACATTGTTATAACCTGCCATCACATAATAAAGTTGCAGTTATATTCATAGGTGAAGATGGTGCTCCACCTATTTCCAGGGAAGCTGTTACTCAAGAGGTCATCCTCTAAAAATTATATCAAGTATGCAGGCAACTTAGATCCTATGGTTTATCCACTTTTTTTTCCAAGAGGTGATGCTGGTTAGCATAATTAATTAGTGCACAACCCTGAAAATGCAACACTGGTTAGAAATCATGTTACACTATCTCAGCTTTACAATTATAGACTTTCAGTAAGACAAAACCTTTGTTCAATATTTTATAGCAAGAAATTAATTCAGCAATATGCTGTTGATGCATTTTTCAAAATTGAAGGGCAGTGGCTTGCTTTCATCAGAAATAACCAAAACAAACTGAAAAGTAAGCAGTATGATCCCTTCCATGATCATGTAAACAACCTTGGAAATAATTGTAATGTTAGACCAAGGTGTGTTGTAGTTTTGCTGTAAACTTACGTAGGAAGTCTTAGAGCTGTAAAAGAAAACTTTAAAGATGCTATGGCTATAATTAAAAAATATGATAAACCAAATCTTTTTATTGCATTAACCAACAACCCAAAATAGTGCGAGATTACTGAAAATTTATATCTAGGACTGCAAATGATAGACCTTGCTTAGTTACTAGAGTATTTAAACTCAAACTAAATAACCTCCTAAATTGAATTTTCAAGCATGGTGTATTAGGAAATGTTGTGACTCATGTTTAGGTTATTGAATTTCAAAAGTGTGCTTTGCCACATGTTCATAATTTACTTCATTTTGCAAATAATGATAAGCTGAGTTATGCAATAGCGATCAAATGAAAGTTTGCTTTCTTTAAAATAATTATATTGATGGAGAGGTTTTGAGAGGCGTTTATGGTGGTAAACAGGTCTTTGTTTCTCAAAAACAGTTGGCTCAAGACAATTATTAAAAGTCAAGTCAAACATTTGATAGAGTTGGAAAAGGATTTTCAAGGATTAAGAGGGGTTTTTAAGGATATAATGATCTTTTCTTGACCAGAAAAAAACAAAATATGTTTTACATATTTTGTTTATATATATATATATATATATATATATATATATATATATATATATATATATATATATATATATATATATATATATATATATATATATATATATATATATATATATATATATATTGTAGTTGTTTGATTTAGTATTAAAAATACTTAACTCTTGATTAAGAATTATATAGATTTTTAAAAACAGAGCATTTTATACTTAAATTTAGAAAAAACCACTTTTAATGAAACTTAAAGTTTCATGACTATTGGCAATCATCAGCCCTGCAGTACAAAATCAAAAATATAAAAAATTCTTTAAAAATTATAAACTACGGTAGAATGAGTTCTGACGTTATAGTAAAAGAAGAGGTAATAGAAAACTCCGCTATTAAAGGTAATAGAAATCTCTGCTATCAAATAATGAAAGGAGAAATTTATTTTTGTGTCTACATTTAGAAACTAGTTCGCTTCTTTTGTTTAGCAAACAATTGTCTCCTTTGTTAATTAATGTTTCGAATTTCTCATTTAAACAAAGCTTACAAATTTTAGATGCAGGATTGTATGTTTAACAGTGTTTAATAATATTCCATTTGATTGAAGATGTAAAGTTGTTTTCTTTTATACTTCCTTAGACAGCTCTATGTCGTTCTTGTACTTTTTTAAAGTTGTTTTCTTTCATACTTCCTTAGACAGCTCTATGTCGTTCTTGTACTTTTTTATGACAAAAGAATTTTAGATGGTTTGCATAATGGAACTTAAAAGAGGTTTCGCTTGTCCTAATATATATCCTTTATCTTTGTATTGAGGCTTATTTGAGCTTATGGTGGCTTTATAAACGATGTTGCTAGACAAGCAACGGTTGTTCAGTGGACAAAGAGATTTTTTAATGCAATTGCAGGTTTTTTCTGATAATTTTACATCACCATATAAAATATTTTTGTTGTGTGAGTTGATAATGGATTTAATGTTTGGCATGCAGGAATAACTTAACTGTGTTTCTGTTAAATATTTTGTGTAGTTTGTAGTTTTTAGGAAAATGTTTGTCAAATAAGGTTAAAACCCGTTGACCAATTTTGGTTGTAACCTTTTTACTAAATAGAGGGTTGTATCAGATTATGTTTTGTTTGTGGTTATTTTTTGGAAAATGTTTTATGCTTAGTTTATATG